CATACGTAGGCACAAGGGCCCCAATCCTTGGCGAGCACCCTATCCTCTAACCACCCATATCTCCTTTGCGTCTTTAACCTTTTAACCTACCAAACCTACCTTTAGCAACGAGAAGAAAACAAGTAAACCTAAAACAACACTCCCCACAATTACCTTAAGAGGTTCCCTTCGAGTACGACGGACGCGAGGGGTGCTAATACCTTCCCCTCACGTAACCGACTCCCGAACCCGGAACATGGTTGTGACAACCCTGTTCCTATCCTTTCGTTTTAAGAGGTTTTCTCGATATTTTCCTCTCCCGTTTATTCGGGAAAATAAAGTTCGGTGGCGACTCTGTCGAACCGCATTTCCGCGCCTTTCGCGCGAGGGTCGTTTCTCCGAAATGTCTCCGTGATTTTTTCGAGGTGCGACACTAAGAACAACACATGTTTTCTTTTTACAAGACCATGACACTATATCATTTCATAAGATATGACATGTGCCACTTATTATTTTCCAATCAGGTTTACAACCTGCATAATCTCAATCAGAATAACCAACCAAATCACATACACTAACTTTAGGATACCATAACCTGACATTTGTTGTTCCCTTGAAGTGCTTCATGATCCTTCTTATGGAGGAGAGATGAGATTCCTTTGGATTTGCTTGAAATCACACACAATGACAAACATTAAGCATTATGTCAGGATGGCATGTCGTCAAATTAAGTGAAGAGCCAATCATACCTCGAGACCTTGTTATATCAATAGGAATACCATATTTGTCTTGATCAACATATATTCTGGAACCCATTGGAGTAGCTATTTCTTTATAATTTTCCATATCAAATTTCTTCAACAATTCCTTGCAATACTTGAATTGGTTGATGAAGATGTCATTTTTTAATTGCTTGATTTGAAGTCCAAGGAAATATTTCATCTTACCCATCATGGACATCTTGAATTCTCCTTTCATTATCAATAAAAATTATTCACATAGATCTCTATTTATTAATTTAAATATAATATTGCCAATGTAGATTTGAACCAATAAAGTATGATCTTTGATTTTCTTAATGAATAATGTAGCATAAACTTTACCTTTTTCAAAACCTTTTTTCATAAAGAAAGTTGCTAAGTATATCATACCAATCTCTTGGTGCTTTATTTAATCCATAAAGAGCCTTTCTCAACTTGCAGACACGTGAATGATTCTTGAAGTCTTCAAAATCGGGAGGTTGTTTGGCATAGACTTGTTCATTTATATATCCATTCAAGAAGGCACATTTGACATCCATTTGGAATAACTAAAAATTTAATGAAAAAGCATAAGCAAGTAAAAAACGAATAGCTTTTAACTTTGCGACCGAAGCAAATGTTTTTTCAAAGTCGATTCCTTCTTCTTGATTGTATCCTTGGGCAACCAATCTTGCCCTGTTTTGAACAATTATACCATTCTTATCAAGTTTATTCTTAAACACCAATTTGGTACCAATGATGTATTTACCACTTGGTCTAGGAACAAGTTCCAAAGTTGGTTTCTTTCAAATTGATTTAATTCTTCTTGCATGGAAAGTATTCATTGGACATCCTCCAAGGCTTCATTAATCTTCGAAGGTTTTATTTGAGAAACAAATGCTATATTTAAGCAAGCATCCTTGAGATTTAGCATTGTTGAAACTTCTTTCCTAATGTTACCAATAACTTTGTCGATAGAGTGATCACAATGGGTTCTCCATTCTTGAGGAATATCACTTTGATTTTGCTTTTATTGAATTATTTCCTCTTTGTGTTTCGATTGTTCAGCTTTATCATCTTTAACAAATTTCTTCCGCAGGTACTTTTAAAATATCATCATCATTACAAACAACCATATCCTCCTTGGAGGGGTTAGACTCATCAAGAGATACATGCATAGATTGTTTAATAGTTAAAGTTCTTTTATTATAGATTTTATATGTCTTACTTGTGAGAGAGTAACCAAGAAATACACCTTCTTCGGATTTCTCATTGAGCTTAAAGAGATTGTCTTTGTCATTTTTTAAGACAAATCACTTACATCCAAAAACATGAAAGTGAGGAACGTTTGGATTTCTTTCCTTGAAGAGTTCTTATGGAGTATTTTTCAAGATTGGCCTAACGATAACTCGGTTTCTTGCATAAGATATCGTGCTTACCGCATCCGTCCAAAAGTATTTTGGTAGATTGGAGTCACATAGCATGCTTCTTGCAAGTTCAACTAGGGATCAATTCTTTCTTTCAATTGCTTCATTTTGTTCGAGGAATCCTCGGTGCTGAAAAATTATTAAAGATGTCATTTTCTTCACAAAACTCTTCAAATGATGCATTTTGGAATTCTCCACCATGATCACTTATTGTTGATGCAATCTTCAAGGATTTTTAATTTTGTACTTGCTATGCGTACTTCTTTAATGCCTTGAAGGCGTCCCTTTTCTGTACTAAAAATAATTTAAAATAATATCTAGAAAAATCATCGACAATAAATAAGGCATATACATTACATCCAAAGGTTCTTATCCTTGATGGATCAAGCAAGTCCAAGTGCAACAATCGAAGTGGCCTTGCAGTTGTTAGCACATTCTTTGGCTTGAAAGTTGATTTGGTTTGATTTCCTTTTTGACATGCATCACATAATTTATCTTGGAAGTTTTTTCATCTTTGGTAAACCAATAGCAAGATCATGTTTGACTAATTTGTTTAAATATTTCATATGCTTATGAGCAATTCTCTTATGGCAAATCCATGCATCATTATTGCTTACCATAAGACATTTTATTTTCAAAGATAAATCATCTAGAAATCACGAAAGTGTTGTAAATTCTTTTACCTATAAGTTTTAACTCATGTGTGACTTCATCTTCAATTAAGTCGTCATCTTTGGTGAAATTGGTTTTGAAGCCTCTATCACAAATTTAGTGTATGCTAAGAAGATTGTACTTTAGTCCTTCTACATAAAGTACATTTTCAATATTTCTGAAAGGTGGTGATCCAATTTTGCCTATACCAAGAATTTTTCTTTTGTTATTGTCTCGATTTGTGACATATCTCTTGGCCTTTAGATTTAGAGATAAAAATTTGTTTATATATCTGGTCATGTGCTTAGAATAATCACTATCAAGATACCATAAATTTGTAGTGGTCTTCAAGCAAAACCTACCAAAACAAATCAATATTTATTTGGTACTCAGAGTGTCTTGCGTCCTTGATAATTTGTTTCTTTCTAATACACACATAATGGCCACTAGAAATCCTAAAATTCCTTATATAGCAAGCATTAGGTGTATGACATTTTAAATCATAATAGAAACATGTAGGAACAAAGTTACTTTTATATCTAGGAACATAAGACCTTTTTTGAACAAATATTTTCTTAGGATGATGATTAGCATTTTGCACTTTATTCAACTTCTTTTTATTGGATTGGTCATTTGCCTTAACAAAGATAGTTTTGCTAGTGCTTGGTTTGTCAAATTTTGAATAACCAATTCTACTTTTATCATTGGGATATCTTTGTCTACTAAGGACACATTACAATCCAATTTGTCCCTTTTATATCTTTTAATAACTCTTTTTAACTGAACAATTTGAAAAGAAAATGAATTACACTCATTGCATGTAGAATTATTTTTTCTTTATCAAAATCTTTTTGCATTGTGTCAATCTACTCTTCAAGAGATGAGATTTGTTTCTTTTATGTTGACACTAGTTTGTACATGATTTTACATTCATTGAGTTAATTCATCTATTGCTCATTGTGCATCATTATCATAAGAAAGTTTTTCGTTACTAACCTCATCTTCTTCATCTTTGGAATGATGTGACGCCATCGATGCAAGATTAGCACATTCTTCACTTTCCAAATCGGATGATCAACATACTTCATTATCATCCCATACAATATAAGCTCTTTTAGATTTTGATTATTTTCTCTCTTTATGATCATTTTTCTTAGCAAGTTTTGGACAATCCGACTTCATGTGTCCTTACTTTCCACATTCAAAGCAAGTGAAACTTTGGGTTAACGTAGAAGCTTCCTTGTTCTTGAAAATTTTCTTCTGTTTTGTAAAGTTTAAAAATGTATCATTATTGAAAAATTTGCCTAACTTTTTTACAAGAAGAATGAAATTCTCATCTTCATTCTAAATGTCTTCTTCCAATTCTTCTCTTGAATCAACCTTTAAAGCAATACTTATGATTCTCTAGTCTACCAAATTCAATCTTATGCTCTTGATGTTTTTCGAAGAATCAAAGTGCTGAAGTGTTAAAGATACCTCAAGTGAAAACATCATGTATAAAATTATCCATACTCTCTACAAACATAATCAAAATACTAATTTCACGACTAAGCTTGATTCATCTATTAAAGTTGATCACTTAATCCAACACTCCTCAAAAAAGGACGTCTCATGCCTATATCTTCAACCATCCCTCATGCTCATGATCCAATGGATAAGAAATTATGAAAAACAAATAAATAAACAAAATAAAATTTAAAGAAAGAGAAAAAAGATAGATGAAGGACTGAGATTGTAGCAGGACGACAACAGAAGATAAAAAGCAGGAGAGGATCTCTATCCAACACTCCTCTCCTCCGAAATTGAATAAAATCCTTATGGCGGATGCTGCAAAAACTTTAATTTTAAAAAATTTAATTTAATTTTTTATTTTTATTTTTATTATTTTCCGATTTTTTAAGCTCTCTAACCTAAAATTAAAAAATAAAAAAATTTACAATTTTTTTAAATAGCTTAGTCACTTTATCTTTATTTCTTTAAAGTGTATCTATACAGCCTATAAGGCGTGGACCAAACATTTTTGCTGCATCGTAATTGTTTGACTCGTGGAACGAAACTTCGAGGATGTCGCCACCTTCATTACTACCTTCCCCTAACCTATTCATATTTCATCTCAACCTATTCTTCTCATTTACACACTTCCAAGAAATCTCCAATCAATTTTCATTAAGACAGTGATTGAGACTTATCTGAACTAAAAAAAATGCTTCCAGGAGTTGAATGTGCTAGAAAGAGACGGTTGCATCAAAGCGAAGGAAAAGAAGGACCTGTTGATTCCACAACAAGACGCTCATTCTGTTTATACACAAGAAACCTTCAATCTACTTCTTCCTCATCAAAACCTTCTTTACCGGTTTGTATTCTCTTTATATATTTCAATTCCATTTCATCATCTATATATGTTAATGGAGGTAGATCCATTGTTAACAGGAAAAAAGCATGTTAAAGCAGAAACAGACTTTGATCGATGAGAAACTCGGAGGATCCGCCATAGAAGCCAAACGGAGATTAGATGAGAAGCTTACAGCATGTATGAAGTCAGATGAAAATCAACGGCAGAAAAGGAAAAGTATTTTTCATGGTTTATTGCAGCAATTCAAATCTTAATTAAAGAAATCACAGATCAGCAATTCCATGTAGTTTCTAATTTTTACTTATGCATCTAAAAGTAGTTTAGCTTTACATCCTTTAGCTGCTGATCGAAATTTGAAACACTCATGTTCGATTCATTTGTTTTGAGAATGAAATATTAACCATCTTTAATGTGATCGTTGAACCAGATGAACTAGTTTTAATCGAGGGTTAATAGTTAATATTACTTTTGTCTCCTATCATATATGCGATTTTTATTTTACCTCGTCTGAAAAAGAAGTTTCAGATGTAACATTGCTATATAAAAATTCTTTTTTTTAGACTCTATAAAAATTTGACCAGCTCTAGTTGAGTTTTTTTTTTAAATGTAAGCTCTGCAGATGTAAATTCATTATTTATTATTTTTAATTATTTTGAATTTCATGTAAAATTTATTTATTTTTAATCATTTTAATCTTATTAAATTATTAAAGACACACAAATTTGAAGATTTTTTTTTTACCAACTGCATGATCAAACAACATTGGTTGCAAAGTTTTTGGGTAGAATCAAGGAAATAAAAAGGATTAAGAACTAAATCCTATTTACCGTATAAATGTCCCCTCTTCGTGTCAAAGTAGATATGAGATTTATTTTCCAAGAACTTTGCTCCACCTTAAGTGATCCACGAACTAATCCGAGCATTTGATTGATAATCTTGCATATCTACCTCCACCTCCGTGTCGGAGCTGCAAGTGTCGTCATCCATATCAGGACCTACCTATCTAATTCTCATTCTGCAGTGTAATAATGGTGCCATTTATGGAAATTAAAATCTTGCTAAATCTCACAATTGAACCTTCCCATTCCAGATTTCTATAAATTTGACAATCGGGAGGTTCAGGAGGTTTATGAACAACTAACTTGCATCTTAATGATCCCTATCGATACTATTGGGGAAATCCGTTTAATTGAACCAGACCTCTCTCGTCAACTTTGATAGGAGACTTATTTGCTAGCGGAGAACAGGGTGATAGAGTATCTGGTGGACAACGGAAGTTTTTGTGACCTAATAGATTTAAAAACCTTTTCTAAACTTGTATTAGGATCATGAGATTTGAGACATTGCAAAGATCAAAGCCTACTTGCTTTTAATAACTCTGCCACTCATCCTTGCAGACAGACCCACTTTCTCGCCACCTTAAAGGAAGGGAAGAAAAAAAGATGCCAACTACGTGTTTCTTCATGATCCCGAGCGAAAACATGTACAACGAAATCTTCAGACTCCCGCTCTTAGCCAAGCTAAATGCATTTGCATCTCCAATGCATTTGAAATTTAAGTACCACGACGAATCCAATAGATTTGTTATGGTCGAAGGAGACCTAATTGGAGCTCAATGGGTACTAGAAGCAAGCAAGAAAAAATCTAGTAGAACCTCTTTCATCTAGGGGAAGGACCTCGAAGAAAGCAAATCGATGATGAGCGTAGGCGACCTCAACGTGCATGATGAAGAGCATCCCAAGTATGAGGAATTGGAGCCTACGGTCGGAGTCAATGTGAAAAAACTGATACAAACCCCGACTAGCAACTTCGAGTCCATTCAGCTGGATGATAATCCTTTTAGATTCATGAAGATAGGATCCGACTTAGCCACCGTAGTCAAAAAAGGGTTGGTGAAATGCTTAACGCTAATGTCGACCTTTTCGCTTATTTTTGCCATGAGATGCCTGAGATAGATCCTAGAGTGGCATGTCACATATTGAATATGGATTCCAACACTCAATTTGTGTCGTAGAGACGAAGATGACAATCGCCTAAGAAAGAATAAGTAATAGTGAAAGTGGTACGAGGATTGATGGACATTAATTTTATCTTCGAACTAAACTATGTTGAGTGGTTGTCTAACATAGTGATAGTCAAGAAAAGTTCTGGGAAATCGAGAATGTATGTTGACTACACTGACCTAAATAAGCTCTACCCTAAATATTCATACATGTTCCCAACACAGATAAATTAGTGGACAAATCTATAGGATATAATATTACTTCCTTCATGAGTGCATACTCCGACTTTAACCAAATCCCGATGTAAGAGAAGAAAAAAGGAAAAATTACCTTTATGACAAAACAAGCAAACTATCAATAGAATGACAAGGCCACATGTAATACCCGAGGCCGAAGAAGGGAGATAATGGTTACCTGTAACATCCGAGGGCGAGGGAGTGGTTGTTGGTGCACGAGGCATGACAATGAGACACTGCTAGTAGCTTCTAGGAAAACCTGAATTCACATCGAAATGAGAAGGATCTGAAGGCTGTGCAGGTATGAGATTGCATGGTTGATAGATCTATTTCATCATTCATATATATTAATGGAGATAGATCCATTGTTAACAGGAAAAAAACATGTTAAAGCAGAAACAATCATTGATTAATGAGAAACTGGGAGGATCGGCAATAGAAGCCAAACTGAGATTGGACGAGAATCTTACAGTATGTATGAAGTCAGGTGAAAATCAATAGCAGAAAAGGAAAAGTATTTTTATGGTTTATTGCAGCAATTTAAATCTTAAGTAAAGAAATCACAGATCAGCAATTCCATGTAGTTTCTAATGTTTAGTTTTACATCCTTCAGGTTTAGAGAATCAAATATTAACCATCTTTAATGTGATTGTTGAACGATTTGGATTATTTTTAATCGAGGGTTAATAGTTAATACTCACTCCATTCCTTTTTAAGTGTCACTTTCTTGATAATTTTTTGTTCATTTTTAATTGTCACTTGCAAAGTTTAATGTAATATTAAGTGCACCTTTGTCAAAATTACCCATAGATATTTATTAGAGAGAGAGAGAGAGAGAGAGAGAAATGAAATGAATGTAATAAATAATTAAGAGTATTATAGGTAAAAGGAGAATTATTATTTGAAAAGTAATAATAATGATTAGCTTTCTTGGTATATGTAAAAAATTTAAAAATAACACTTGAAAAGGAACAGACGTAGTACTAATTTTGTCTCTTACCATATATGCGATTTTTATTTTACCTCATCCAAAAAAGAAATATCATATTTAACATTGTTATATAAAAGTTCTCTTTTGTTAGACTCTATAAAAATTTGACCAGCTCTAATTGAGTTTTTTTTTAATGTAAGCTATGTTAATGTAAATTCACTATTTATTATTTTTTAATTATTTTGAATTTTATATAATATTTATTTTCTTTTTTAATTATTTTAATCTTATTAAATTATTAAACACGCTAGAATTTGAAAAAAAAAACAAAATTTTACCAACTCAAGGATCAAACAACATTGGTCGCAAAGTGTTCTGGGTCGAATCAAGAACCAAAATAGGATTAAAAACTCAACCTTATTTACAGTATAAATATCCCTTCTTCGCGTCAAAGCAGGTATAAGAGATTCATTTTTCAATAATTTTACTCCACCTTAGTTATTAATGAATACAAATATCCACGGGTACATGTATCATCAAATTTGTATTTATGCTCGTAAGAAAATAAGTAATTAAATATCCGTTTATTTTATTCGTAGATATTCATTATACTATCTAATTTATGTTCGTAATGGATTTTACTCGCAAGTAGCTTTAGGGTCTGTTTGGTTCAAATGAGGGGGAGGGGAGGGGAGGTGAAGGAATTTTTTAATCAAATAAGTGTTTGGTTCAAAAGAGAGGAGGGGAGGGGAGGGGAGGGATTTTAATTAAAAATGTGTTTGGTTCAGAAGGGGAGGGGAGAGGTTTTATTAATAATTTATATTTTTATCCTTATGATCTTATATAAGTCATATGATATTAAAATATGAAAAATCCGTGCGTATTTTTGTTGGTAATAAAATTTCTAATATTGAGTGATTAAAAAAATACTTATTTGTCACATAAAGTTAAAAAATTCAGTACAATCGATTCAACTTATAACTTTCCAACATAAATTAAACTATATGCCAATAATATCGTTTAAATTGTGATAAATCATATAACAAAACAAATATATAAAATAACTTATTACTAAATATTAATGGTTCAAAATATTTAATAAAATGAATAAACAAAAATAAATAAAATGATATGGTTTACAATTTGATATAAAAGAAAATATGATAGAGTACATAACAAAATTAAAAGAAAAAAACGAATATAACTAAACATAATTTTTTTAATAAAAAAAGACAATGATTATGATTTATATTAATTATAAAAATTATAAAATAATTTGAAGGTGGAGAACAATTATAATAATTTGATGAAAACAATCGAGAAAAAACAGTAACACAAAAGATAACAAATAGTTTTGAAATAATAAAATTAAACTGAGGATATTTTAGTAAATATAATAATTTTTAAATATCAAAACTCATATTCTCTCCCCTCCCCTCCAAATCCCCCCAATTTGGAGGGAACCAAAAAGTGTGTTTTGGAGGGATTTTGCTCCCCTCCCCTCCTAAATTTTGAACCAAACATATTTAATTAAAATTTTCCCCTCCCCTCCCCTCCATCTACCCCGAACCAAACACACCCTAAGTGATTCCCGAACTAACTCGAGCGTTTGATTGATAATCTTGTAGATCTACCTTCACCTTCGTGTTGGAGATATAAGTGTTGTCATCCACATCAGGACCTACCTCTCTAATTCTCATTCTACAATGGAACAATGGCGTCATTTATGGGAGTTGAAATCTTGCTAAATCTCACTAGTGAACCTTCCCATTCCATATTTCTATAGATTTGACAATTGGGAGGTTCAGGAGGTTCCTGGACTAACTTGCATCTTGATAGTCCCTATTGATGTTGTTGGGAAATATATCCGTTTGATTGAATTGGACCTCTCTCATCAACTTCAAGAGGACACTTATTTGTTGGCGGATAACGGGGTGATAAAGTATCTGGTGGACAACGGAAGTTCCTCTGACCTAATATATTTAAAAACCCTTTCTTAACTTGTATTAGGATCATGAGAATTGAGAAATTGCAAAGATCAAACTTGCTTTTAATAAATCTGTCACTCATCCTTGCAGACAGAT